CCCTCCTTTCTTTTTGGTGAATTTGGTGCATAACATGCGATCATTGTCAAAGTACTTTTGCCATTTATTTTTGCACTCAAAGCTGAATTGTATCTTCTCGATGGCCTCCTTCAGCACATCTGAGGCAGGCTTGTCAACTCCAGTTTTTCCCCAGCCAGCAACTGTACAGTTAATGTTGGCTGGGATTTTCCCATCCTTCTTTGGTAGTCCGATGGTCTTCACATACTTATTCAGTTTGGCCTTGTTTTTTAACTGAAACAGAGATCGGAGTAGAACTGTAAATCACAGCAGTTATTGTCCCGAAACAGTTTACTCATATGTCAGATATTTAATTGTGTGTTTATGTCTTCTTAAACAGAGTTAAGTAATGCACTTCACCCACATCCTCCACAGCTTCAGTGCGTGTGTGTGTGTGTGTGTGTGTGTGTGGGCACCGTTAACTCAACATAAGAAAACGAAACTGAGATGCTTGCCTCAACTCGATTGCACAGACTACTTTCCACAGAAATTTAAGTTGTTTTTTTTTTAATTAATTGATTGAGTTTTAATATGAACATCTACACGGTTTTATTTACCTTCAGTAACATAATGTCATAATCATATTCTCCAGTGAATTTCGGATGTGGAATTTCCTTAGCCACTGGGATTCTTTGCTGACTTTTCTCTTCCTTGCGTATGTTATGTGCTCCAAGTACCACCACCATATTGCGGTTCGGCCTGACAAAAATGGGAACAGAACAAAACATTAAGAACCCTTGATAGCAAATTTCATAGTGTCTTCAAGCTCTGACAAACTTGTACTTTCATGTATATAATCGGATAACACTATAATACTAAACTGTTAAAAGTAATTAACAACAAATCATTTGTAAATGACAAATAACAGTTTAACTGCAAATAATTATTAGCCATTAAGTTTTTTAACTGACTGGCATAAAACAATATTTTTTGTGTGCCTGTATGATTCTGCATCGATGTAAAATAAACTCACTTTTTGCAGTGTGCAGCTGTTAGAACAAAATCCTCCCGAATAAGTATCCCGCCACATGAATGATGTCCATCAAACTGGAGTGATGCCATGTAGGGTCTGGAATGAGGCTTGGAAACCTTACCACCCACGATGCCACTCTCAGAAGCCCCTTACACGAGGACAGAAGGTAAATTAATACACAGATTACAAAATGCAAATACCTCAACATTTAAATTATTTTTATCATTATTACAGACCCCAAAAATAGGGATCCTTTATTACAATGTAATCTGTAGCCATTAAAAAGGCTCTTTAAATATTCAGCTGTAATCTTTAAAAACTGCTATTAATATAAATATTATATATAGTCACATCTCAGCAATAATATTGAACTTCATGTAATCTTACCAGTGAGGGAGAGCAGCTGAAAGACAAATATAATGCAGTATGCGTGGATCATGGCTGTTGTACAGAAGTAAAAAGCTGAAGAGTCTGGCTGACAGTCTCCCCCTGGTACCTTTTGTAGTCAACCTCCCAACTCACAACGGAAACTTTGTGGGCAGGTTGTCAAAATAGTTCTTGCAAAGAAGAGTTCACACCTTGTAGCATAAGTGAGACCCTTTTACAAAACCAGATTAAACCGTCAACGTGCCACACACATTGTTGTTAGATCAGTAATAATCTAAACACTTCACTCTATTATACTGTATGTTTTCTTGTACCTTCACATGTGGGATTGTAGTTTTATGTTCCAACAAAAAAAACAGTAATGAATTTTGAAAAGATAACTTTAACGTTTAAGATTTAAGTGTGCTGTAGATAGGAGTTTGGGTACTGTCTACAAGTACTATCTATTTCATGGCCAAAAAGCAGAAAGGTCCATATTTACTTTATCATGTGCTTCATTTCCTTTAAAGGCAGAGAGTTCAGGTAAAAGGTTGATTGTTGAGTGGAAAGCTGTGTATTAAGGCTACATTAACCGCAATGAGTACAAAGGTGGTCACACACACACACACACACACACACACACACCATTGCTGTTTTTTCAGGCCAAAGGTTATTTGATGTTAGAAGACAAATATATATGTTAGCCTTTCACTCTAGAGCTCAAGTACAGTTTTTACATTTAGTGTTTAGAAGATGTAAACACTCAGATCATTTTGAAGTCCTGTACCTGAACCTAGTAACTTAAGCGCTTGTCTGCTGGAGGTGTTTGCAAGACCATGTTGTCCGCAGAGACTTTGTGTATTTCTGGACCTTGGTGCTTAGGGTGTAGATTATATGTTATGATTATATGTCAATTTAAGCTGTTAATATTAGTTGTTATCTATTTTTATTTTTTTCAAATTTTAAACCTTCAATAAATAAGTGGAAGAATAATGTCTGATTAACCCTTCAGACAAGTGATTTGGATAAACTATAATGGCATCAGTATTAGTAAATTATTAGACAAAATGATTAGAGCAGCAATGGCTTTATGAGGGAGACAGTAAGCCATAAACCTACATCCTTTGCCACGTGTCTACTGACCACTAGATGGAGTTGTAGTCATTTTGTGGCAAACAATCCACCTGTAAAAGCAATTTACAGCCCAGCTCATATAGGCTACATCCCTCACTTCTGCTACTGTAACATGGTGATGTTTATAATTATCTTAAAATCATCATAGAGGTCTACAACACAGGTCACAAAACACAGTCTACTTTTTTCTAAGCTGAAGAGATTTGCCATTGTTATTGCTTACCACTGAGTCTTATAGAGAATAAGTATTATCACTTTTCCACAGTGCTCCTTCATTTTCCTTACACACAACACCTAACAGGTGGAGGTGACATTCCCAATACGTATACATAAATGTGTTTTCCAGCAGCAAGGTCCGTTACAATGGTTGCAACAGGTATGTAACAGTTTGTGGATTGTGTAATTGTTTTAAGGCTAATCTAAGCTCTGGTCTTAATGGACCAATATAGAAGTGATTCAGAAACAGAAGTCTGTCTAGTTGGACTGGGCTGATGGCAATCCTCGTCTTTTTTTCACCTTTCCGTTTCTATTCATGAAGGGGAACGTAGAAGGTTAGAAGTGCAGCTAATGCTCTCTCAAAGTCCTTTTTAAATAAGTGAAGCTTTGATGTTTCCACTGTTGTGAAATGTTGGACCTGGATTGGTTATGAAATATTACACTCTCTCAGCTGCCACAGAAAAACGTTTGTGGAGCCATCTTGATAAGGCAGATGGTCTAATTACCCTAATGTCATACGAGGCTGCTGGTCATAACATTTTCCACAAACTGAACGGCTCAGTTGGATTTGCAGGAATCTTCAGCAGTCAGTCCTCATTTCATCAGTTTCTAATCTGTACAAAAAAAAACACCAAAAAACTCGCACAAATTTGGTTTTATTTTGAGGTAATGAGTTGAAATTCATCTTTTGAGGTCAAATACACTTAACAGAACTGTATTGTTAAATGTAGCACAGTAAAATTATGAAAAGGAAAAAAAATATGTAACATATAGGCCTAGTGGGTGAGAAACAGGTGAGAAAACTTGCTTCCTGTACACTTTTAAACTCACCACATCTTTACGGTGGCCAACAGTTTGTACGTTGCAAATTACAATAAACAGCTTCCTTAATAACAGGAAGACTGCTATAGCTATAAGGTCTCCACCAGCATGACCCCAACCAGTAAGGCAGGAAGAGAGGGTTACCAGCACAACAAAAGCTGCAGCTACATACCACAGACAGTTAAAAATACCAGTATACTGGTCGGGATGACATTAGAAGTAAGAAGGGAGCAATATTCAAACAATATTCAAGACTACCGCAGCACTTTGGTGTTATTTTTTTTAGTACATAGCCCTTCCTTTACTGATAAACAATAACAAAAGAAATAGTGCAATATCTGCAATTTTTGTAGCTTATGTGTAGCAATTACAGGGCACAGATGAAGATTTTCAGATTTGGCCCTGTTTTATCAATAAACTACCCTACTGTCAGACTCTTCATTTTGTAATTGTCCTATTAAAGAAAAAATACAAATTGGGCATTGAGTTGGCGCTAAGCTGGCTCCTGAAGAAAAAGGCAAATAAAGAACATGATAAAAATAATTTTCAGACTTCTCAAAATGCTGTCATGCAAAACACCCAGTAAGATTAGTAATGGTATGATAGTTATTCAGTTCTTCCAGCAAAAGGAGATTCACCAAAAATGAAGCGATGCTGTCCTGTGTTTAGGGTCCACCCTCAGGCCAAATGCCATACTTACCTCCAACAAGGAGGTTCTGTTTTTGTGCTATTTGTGGGTTTGTTTGTTTGTCTGTCCACAGAATTATGGAAAAACTGCTGGCCAGACTTTCATGAAACACACACACACACACACACACAGAGTGGACAGTTGATAGAGACCACGGTGGACACAGCGAACCAGTTGAAGTGAAGTAATGTTTAAAGTAAAGAGGCGTGTTTGAATTTTTTCCATGAATACCAAAGTTGACTTTTAAACTCGAGAACATTTTTTCAAGTGCATTTAACAGTAATATTCCAGCGGGGTGCAGGTACATTTAACAGAACCCAGGTAGAATCCAAGGCGATACATTATTTCTTTCTCGCTCACTGACTGGAGAACAAAGACAGAGCTTCTGCTCACATTAAACACATCTGTGCCCCTGTGGCCTGTTGAAGCTACAATATATCCACAGCTTTTTCTAGGTTTTCTTGTTATACTCTAAGAGGTGGAGTCAGAGTGAAAATGAAGACTGTCTTCAATAAACATTCCTTTAGGACAGGATAATTGGCTGTTAGATGATGCGTCTACACAGCAAACTAACAGCGGTCTGAAGGTCTCAAGTAAAACTTTGACTGAGGTCACTGGTTCAAAGTCAAATTTTATTTTGTAAGTTTGTTTTCCATAGGATGGCTCCAATCAATCATTGCCAGCATCATGTTACACATTTGTTAAATACAATGTAATAATGGCACAGATTTCACATTCACACACATTACACACACACACACACAAACACACACACACATCCCGATGTATATATGTAAGCATATATACAGTACACCCGCTTTAAATGTGATTGCAGTGTTTCAACCTCCATTATTCACTTCATTACAGAATTTATAAACCTAATGAATGTCGCATTGCAAACACTACTCTCTCTTCTTTTTCTTTGCACTCCCTTTCCTGAAACACTTGCGTGTGCAGAACAAGCAGCATTTGAGTGTCACCCACACAACAGTTAGGAGAATTATGACAAAAAAGCCCATGACGTCCAGGGAATGGTACTGAATCCAGTTTAACTCATGTGCAGCTACCCTTAGGTGTTCGGTTCCTCCGTGTCTCATAACAAACTCAGTCCAGAAAACAGCCAGGTCCAAAGGCTGAACAGGGCGGTCCAGGTGTATCTCAGACAGCTCCACTGCCTTCTCTTTGTAACTGGGGAGAAGTAATATTTTGAAAAGTTAATTGTATGAGGTCCAGTTTTGATCACCACAAGCCATACATTAGAAAAACTATGATACTGTTTGTACTATAAATAAGATGTGAAAGATGTATGTCTAAAGATAGCAACAGAAGCTATAACAAATTGAGAGTCCTTTAAATTACAATAATCAGCCTGACTAGAATGACTCAGCAATACAAATACACGTTTAGTATGTGGATGAATATAAATGCAGCAGATGTATTTACAGGGTAGGATACAATTAAAACCTTTCACCAGTAATTATTTTAGGGATGTATTGTGAAGCTGCATACAATATGACTGCACTGCATAGAGTTGACCTGGGAACAAATCCTCTACTTTTCACACACACACTCTTAGGGTAAAAGCCCAGGGATATACAATTCACACTGCACTCCTTCTGGCAGCGGGTTAAATGTCCACTGGAACATGCAACTAAGGTCGACATTTATATTTACATTATGATTACTATAGTCCCTTTTAGCCCTGCGTTTAGGCAAATTTCAGGGGATGACCCAACCAACACTATAGCTCCCCCACATAAGGAGAAATATTGGCAATCTGAACAAACACTAAAAAATACATTACATAAAACAATATACACTAAATCATTTTATTTATATATTTTTCTCCATTCTTTGTAAATGATACAACATCAGCACAGCGACATATTGTCATGTTTTAGCCCGGAGCTAAGTACAGTGTGAAAAGCTCTCTTAGCCTAGGGCTAACAGATCCCCCTGCTGCTAGGAATGTTCTGGGCTAAGTGCAGCAGTGTGAAAAGCCCCCAGATTAATGTTTTCTGGTTAGAAATACAGACCGTAAACATAACTTTTGTTTACACAAAACTTTACAGGGCACCTTAAAGAGCGCAAATAACAAACAGATGAGTGAGGGAGAGGTCAGTCAGTGTGTGTGTATGCACAATATATGTGTGTGGGTTGACAATGGGTGTGCAGGGACTGCAGACTACTCCACAGGGCGCCGTTACATTTTGTATGTATGATTCTCATCTTACCTTTTGTCATGGATGATTTTATTTAGGCCAGCCAATAGTTTTTCAGATGTCACATCATAAATGTTGAGTTTCTCTGCCATGCCGCGCGTCACCATGCGGTTAACGTTGTCTCCCTGGTCCCCGAACAGTGGGAACATCAACATGGGTACAGCATTACAGATGCCCTCGTAGACGCCATGGGTACCTCCGTGAGTGATGAAGACTTTAGCTTTGGGATGGGCTGAGGAGCACAGGAACAATCACAATTACAGGCCCAGTCCACCACAAACCGGACGATTTTATTAGAATATACTTTGTATAACTCGAATGTTAATATTTATGACATGATAGCAGCGCCTCATACATTTGTCTGGAAAGGATAAACATACCCAGGAGGTCATTCTGAGGTAACCATTTCAAAAGTTTGACGTTTTTGGGTGCATCTGCAGGTGGGACTCCAGTGTACCTCCACAAAACCTGAAACATAAACATCTTACTTTTTAACATTTGATGTGCAAAGTATTTATCTATTGAAGTGAGGGTTTGACATGTTTACAACAAGGCAAGGCAGGGGACAAAGTCCTATGGTTAAAACTGATTAGGGCTTTAGCATATGTGCTGAGCTAATGTGAGCTAAAATGAGCTCTGGCTAATGTGTAATGTAATGTGTGTCTCTTTGCTTGTGTAGTTAGAAACTTTTATGTTTTGTGTTTTATTTTAAGAGAATAAATAGCAGTCTAACAAAGGTCATTTTAAATATTTTTGTTTTTTGCATAGACTGAGTGGATTGAGTAAGTAAAGGGATTTAATCTGTTAAGGTTATTGTTACCCTCTGAGGAATTTGCCGAAAGGCATCAAAGAACTCTTTAGCCCTCTCCTCAGGCATGGTGGACACCATTGAGCCCAGGGTAAAGACAATAAAGCCGTCATCTCCTGAGCCTTCCACAAACTCCTCCAAGTCCTGCAGAGAGAAAGACACAAAAACCACTTCAAGAAAATATTCAGTTTGTAGAGAACTCACAATAAAAGGTTAGATCTAGTGGGCAATGACCAGTGTGCAGCAGCCTTTTATTTTAAGGTGCAGCCATTATATCAACAACATATTGTCTTTAGCACCCAATTAAGTAATCCTAGAAGCACAATCTGCTTGCCAGCTTTTGTAGAGTGTTTCCAATCTGTAAACACAGGGCCCCTGTTTTTTCTTAGATTACATTGTCCATAGCCCAGAAATACATTTAAACTTTTCCTGGCTCAGATATCACAACTTGAATCTTCCAGAAAAGCAGACAAACCTGTTTTTTTCACAATGTTATAAGCCAATTCATAACACACCTGTCAAAACAATATTCATAATCATTTTGGCACCAGTGCCTTCTTCCTGAAACATATTTATCTCCATAATAAGTTCAGAAGTGAATAATTCACATTTTGCAGGTCTCCAAAATGAATTACTGCATATGTGTTCTTAAACTCTGTATGGAATACAAAATAACACATGCAAACAAGGTGATTGTCTATACTCTGACACAGCTTTCTGTTTCATGAATCTTTTTGCAAGCACTAATGCAGAGTTGTTAAATTCTTTTAAATTTGGAGTAGTGTTTCTGGGGTATAAATTTCACTCTCTTTTTGGCTCTGTTTTGGTATCAGCTAACTTCTAGGCTCTTTAGCTGCTAGATGATCCACTGCTTTCATTAAGTATAGTTGCTAACTTTGTCATGATATTTTTTTGCTGAAAACAGTGATGATGAGAGCAGAACCTGAGGGCTGTGCAACCAAAACAGTGAGCCAAGAAAGACAAACACTTTATAGAGCTGCAGAACTAAGTGATAATACCCCATCACATCACATTATACATCATTATCATCATCATCATCATCATCATCATCATCATCATCATCATCATTTGTTAATATAAAACTATTTATTAGTGGTGCTTTTCTGGTTTTCACTGTTTTTATTAACACAAAACACGTAGATGGGATTTGCCTTAAGTGAATCCAGATGTTTACTCTGGCATACATTCTTTAAATACTCACTGCTGGCAGAGGAGATGTCTTTGCACAATTGATGCCTCCAATAAAAGCTGAATTTGGCATGATGGGTCTGGGCCATTCAAAAACAAAGTCATATCTGAGAAGCCAGAAACCAGCATGACTAAGAAGCTCCTTGTAAGTCATGCTGTCTTCTACATGCCTGCTGACCAGCTCGTCAAAATGCTGATAGATTATTTTGCACATGTAGGACTCCACAAAATGCATGATCATGTTTTTCACTCTCTGTGGGAAGGTCATGATGTCTGTATTACCAGAGAAGGACACAGGGACATAGGAAAGAGGAGCGGGGCACTGATTAGCCTTTGAATCCAGCTCACATGGAAGTCCACGCAGGAAATAAACAGCTGGAATGGAAAAGATATGAGCCAGGATAGAGCCACAGGGAAGGAAGGGGTCTGTAAGCACAAGATCGAAGCCCTCTCCCCTCAGTCGACTCATTAAAGGCTTGTTGTTCAGCAAACTCTCGCAACCTGTCACCTGCATTGAAGTAAAGTTAATCAAACGCTGCACATTGATAAACATATCTGTGAATTCTGGTGGCTTGAGGAACACTCCATCCTTCAGCTCGTCGAAATTTCCATCCAGTTCAGCTTTGGTATAGGGGACTTTGTAGATCTCAGTCTTGTAGCTCTCTGAGCCTTTCATCAACAGGCTGCATTCAGGCACCAGCACTAAGACCTCGTGGCCCCTGTGGCTGAGCTCCTTCACCAGTATCTTCATGCTAAGCCAGTGGCTCCCATCCACAGGCAGAACCAGCACCTTCCCCCCTTGAACGGGCCCCAGACTGAGGCAGCACAGCCAGGCCACCAGCCCCAGCGTAGGAAACCACACCCCGCTACTCATTGCCTCCTCTCTGTACTGCAAGCTGGCTTGTTGTAAGAGCCAGTGTTGTTAAGAGGTTGCCTTTATGTGTGTGTGTGTGTTTAACTTCTGCAGGAAGTTAAGGCTGTGTTTGCAGGCGGGCTGTTATATAACCACCGGAAGACAGAGACAGAGTGGAGATTCCCAGTGGAATTTGTGGAGAGGTCTAGTATTCAGACAATGTCTCCAGTTAATCATTCTCTTATGGTTCTTTATATAACTTTTAAACTTAATGATTTTTCCTGGTGTATTCATTTACATTCAACATTTTTTCAGTGACACCATGCAAAATTCAACTTTTATATTTATAAGTTTGTGATTTAGTTTTGTTTTTATGGTTTATCTAATGAAATATGTTAACAGATACAAGTAAATGTTTTGGGGCTATCAGTGGTAAAAATATTTATCTTGCTAATTGCTTATTGTTTATATACTATTTATTACCTCCACAATCAGTAAGACATGCAAGTCATGGTGGCTATGCATTTTTGCAGCTTGTAGGGTACTCATTAGTCAAAAGTCCTCTCTATTTACTTTGGCTGCTCCTTCTCTCCTCCCCCTGAAAAAGAGACACATGCGTGCTTAAAGGGCAATAGTATGTGCCCTCTCTTTACCTCTTTTTTTTTCACTCTCTCTAGTCGCACGCACACATATAGCTACAACCATTGTGACGAGACCGGTAGCGTGCAAAGCCAGTTGTAATAGGACACCCACACCCACCTCTTTGGAGGGGGATGATAACATCAAACAAACAATGTGGAATTTTACCCTCAGTTACAACTTGCTTTACCTTAGGAAACCCAATATGAGAGTAACTATTGCACTGGTTGTGAAATTCAATAAGTTAATAGCTCATCAGATGAATTAAGAACAAGAATATAGTCATTGGAAGAATATCAGGAGTAAGTGAATTGAGCTTTATGGATCAATGACACAAACAACACCACTAGATTCTCCTATCTGAGAATGTGCTATCCCCCTGCTTTATTTTCAGTTCTCCACAAAACAAACAACTAACTTTGGAATCCTGTCAGACACACTTTTACATGTTTAGGTGAATGGCAACCTATTCTCGTAAAAAAATGATAGATACTATTATTTTTAAGTCTTATGTCCCCACAAAGCCAGCTAAATGCCCAGAAACAGTTGGGGGCAGCTGAACCTTATAGTCAGGTCGTGTCTGTCCCACCTCTTAAATTTTGTAGTTTCCTGACTGAAATATAAAAAAATATATATAAATGTTTTCTTGAAGTTGTTTTGCTGTGTCAGGAATTATTTCAGTCTGAAATTTTCAGTTAGTGTGGTTATAGTCTCAAGCTGTCAGTATGCTTTAACCAAAGTAATTGTCTTATTAATTATACTTCTGTTTTATTATTATTATTGTTAATTTTATTATTCAATTATTATTTTTATTTTTTTATTTTTTTACATTTTTCACAAAGTTAATACTTCTATAACTTTCCTTGTGTATAAACAACTAAAACACTATGGATGTCTTTGGGGAGACACTGTCCAAAAATGTGGCTTTTCAGGAAAAGGTATACTTTCAAGCTTGTTTGTTTTGAGCATACTGATACTTTAAAACCTCCGCCTCTCTCTCTGCTGCCTCGTATCACTCCCCAAAGCCCCCCTCCCACAAAACCCAAGTTTAAAAGACAGCAGAATGAGTTTCTCTGCAAAAACAGCAAATAGGAACGCACTCTCTCTAAAATGACCTGTGATTGGCCGAAGTCTCCCGCCACAGGATAGATTCTCTTTTTCAGTTTTTCAATTTCAATATGCTGAAAGGTTAGTATGTAATTTCTGCTCAATGATGCCAAAGAAAGCTGCCTACCCCAGCTTTAAGTGTCATGCTTCAGTTTCTAAAGGGCTCCAAAGGCTTGATTACTCCAGTAAAACTCGCATACGCTTTCACAGCCATTCATCACTAGCTTGAACTTGGCTGTTGTACCAGAACACAGTGTCCAGTTTCTTTGAGCAACTTACAAAAAAAGACCACAGCTGAGAAAACCTGGAGCGCTCAGAATGCAGGGAAAATGAGGCTCTTGCAAAAAAAAAGGTGTAAGGGGAGTGGAAGAGTCTGTGGGAGTTGCAGTTTGACAACCTCCAGAATTACACTGACCATGCACAATCTTTGACCTTTCTTCTCTCATTTCTCAGGTTTTGGCACCACCTTTCATCTATACAGACATGGAATCTGTAACATTGCAGTTGTTTATCTCTGTGGTTTAATTAATGACCAATACTGGCTACAATTCTATTCTCAACCTGTAAATCTCGCACTTTGCATATTCATTCTGTGAATGGAAATTTAACATTCAGGCTGATGCTTTGGTGATTATTATGGATGTTTTCTTTCACCCCACAATGGGGTGACAATCAAGGTAAATCAAGGAAAAAATACTTTTTATTTGCTCAGGAATGTACTACAACTTAGATCTGCAGTAGTTTTTGGCTACTTAAAGGCCATCTGACATTTCATCATCTTTTACACCATTCATCTCCTTTCCTAGATTCTGTTATCTCCTGAATGCGATATTTTACTCTCAATCTTACAGTATCATTCACCATATTCACCAGTGTCAGTCTGCCATCTGGTGCTGAGCAGGTAGTGTACAGGGGGGTTTTTAAACATTTTCACAGCTTGCTGTGGCCCAAATTGACACTATGAGAGAACTGAACCAAAACAGTAAAGTTGCAGGCCAGAAAGCTAAACAAATTAATTCACTATAAAGGTCTGTTAAGGATAGCTGCATACTCAGATATTACTAAGAGTGACTCCTTTCACACAGACATTTTTCTTTCATATTGTCCTTTGATACATTGTTATACAAATATTGAGTAAAGTCTTTAAACGACTATTCCTCATCATGAAACTGCTTTGTGTTTTTAAAAAATGGCACATTTACAATCATTTAATATTGCTATGTGTTTATTTGACCTTGTGCCTTTTCCATTCATGCGATGGCCTCTAGCTCAGACTTAAGCCATGGTTACAGTATTAAAGCATGCTAGATCCTACTTTGTCAGACTGCCTCTGTGGCTGTTCTGAAAAAGTGACCCATGGGCTTATTCAAACATAAAACCAAGTTGGAAAATTGCCAGTGGAGCAAGGTTCATGTCCAAGGTCCTGAAAGTGGCTGAAGGAATGATAAACAAATGAAGTAATGGTTGGAAACAAAGAAAGCCTTGCACACACCTAAGGGCGACAAAGCAAACAAGCCTGGCAGTAATCGTAAAGCTGATTCCTGCATATAAAGGCAAATATGAGCGTGGCAATGTCAGTCTGTCATTGGTCACTCTTTCTGTCCATCTTTCCGCCATTGCTAGCATGTTACTGTGCCAATGTGAGCGTTTAACATTAGCATGGCCGTAGACTGTTGGTCTTTGGAGTTCTCCTCCATCTTTAATGGCAGCTCAAGCAGTAGCCCTGAGACATTGGTTTTACTCACACAGATCACAATAGCTTGGGTTCAAAGGTCATATTTTGTGGCGGAGGGCTCCTGACCAAGCTGCAGTATTTGATGAGTTGTGAGTTTTTCTTTGGCTTTTGCTTCATAGCTTTCTATTCACATTTTGATTGTAGTTTCACAAATGGTGGATATGCTGCCTGCTGACAATTTGGCTAGTTTCCTGTGTTCCCACCCTTTCGCTCAGTTCTCCACAAAATAACTCCAGCTGTAACAAAGCAGAAAGAGAGCCACTTCAACAATTCTGACATGGAAAAAGAAGGAAACGGGCTGTGTTTGGGTTGCTGTGTAGTTCAGCCCCTATAGTGTAGAGTCTTAATCTCTTAATCTCACTTCATCATTATGAACAGATTGAGCCACTTCATTCCGCTGACACTGCAGCTGTGTTGTTGCCTGCTCTGGTACTTTACATGGGATCAGTTAGCTAGTTTTTGTGTGTTTAGGTTCATGTCCATTCTCCTGTTGCGTTTGTGTCATGGTGGAGGATGCCACCACTGAGCAGTGCTCCTCCGGCACCCAATAATACATGTAGACCTTGTCAGGCTATTAAGAGTAATTATAATAGCAAGGAATTACTTTACTAAAAGTACTTTTCATCCTCAGACTAAGTGATATTTTAAATTAAAAATGTTTTAAATATTTGAGAAGCACACTGCCTATCCTGCTTCTTAAAAAATATTTTTAATTAAGACCTTTTGCTGTCACTAAAAAAACGTTCTAATTTGATAAACATCTTCAGCTCCAAAACACATATTCATACACACATATATCATCTGTAGCTCACAAACAGCAGCAGATAGCAAAGCTCCAACATGCTCATAAAAGCTGAGAATCTATGTATGACAACCTGATGAGATGTGCCATTTTGGAAAATAGGAAGAATTATGTGTTTTATGTCAGTTTGCAGCCATGACCAAATGAAAACCATAATTAATTTCAGATGAATACAAACTGCTTTTGGGGATTTTGTGTATTTACTTCCACAATTTGTGTCATTTTTATGACATGTTTACATTTTGAGCAGTTTATGGCTGGCGTAAGTATAATCTTAATTTAAATGTTCAAACAAAAGAAATATCTGACTTCCTAACTGCTTTGAAGACATACAAAAAAGAGCTTGTGCTAATTTGGTTTTGATGTTGCTGCAAATTTTGAAGTGTTTGTACTTTTCAACCAGATGGTGGTGCCAAAGACATAAAAACATTCACAAGGGGATATTTTCTGTTGGTAAACTGTATAATTTATAGTAGAGTCTCCTCTAATTAATTAACTTTGGTATTCCAGTTAGGAACAACCCAGAGGACATATCCCTGTGCAGTGGCTGTGTTTCATTTCACTAAACATTCAAGCTCTAAACACTGCACCATTCTTTCTTTAATTTAATTCTGTCTTATAAATATATGTATATTTCAAATTGTCTCCTTCTATATCTATCTATCTATCTATATTTCACAAGTGGAACCATAGAAACTGACCTCCCCTGAAATCTTACATTTAATTAGTAACCAAGCATCTCTATGTTCTTATCACTTAAAGTAAAGTGGACCACTCCTGACACAAAACCTTG